GGGGTGGGCGGAAGCTGGCCCTGGGCTCAGTTCAAAGGGACACAAACCACAGGTGGTTACGGTGGGACCGGGCTTGTGAGCAGCACAGTGCTCCTAAATCTGGCAGAGCAGAGGGAAGGGCACGAGGTTTGGGTCTTGCTGGGGTTGCAGAGCCCTTCGGTTGTCTCAGCCAGGAGAAGGCTGGGGAGGGCAGGCCATGGATTCCACTGAATATGCTTATTTAGGGTTATATCAGTACAATTCTCTTCACAGGCTCATCATCGTGGTCTGTGTGGTAAACAAGTGTAATTAGTAAATTCTGATAGCCAGGAGAAGGACTTGCTATAGCAGGAGTGTTTCATGTATCCATCTTAGACTTTTTTCATGATCGTCTTCTGTTTCTCCCCGATAGAACCACAAATTGAGAGTTTCAGTGCAGAAAAGTGCCTGTGGACCAACAGTCCCTCCTGACTCTTCCCGCCTGCCGGCCATGGTGTCCAAGTCATTCCTGCACAGAGACACGCGGGCTTGCTCCCAGTGTGAGCTGGTGTGCCGGCCAGTGGAGAGGCTGTGGGTGACCAAGGGGTTCAGGCTGAAACCCTGAACTAAACACCGGTGTGGCACTACACCGTCTGTCTGTAAGATCACAGCAACGGCACGTAGCGGCTGTCGTAAGGAGCTTGCTGGCTGCTTGTCGATGTTTATAAGCACTGGAGGATCCCGAGGTGATCAGCACGAGGGATGGTCCAGGGGCTGTTGTCTTGGCCAGGTAATGCAGAACCCATGTAACGGGAGCGGTACTGAAAAGCAGCACATGCATATTTAAATCAGCATCAATCTATGCTGTCACTGAGCTGTGACTTACCGCAGCATCATTCATATTCAGCTTTAGTGCCAAAAAACAATACTCAGCTGCTTTCTTACTTCTTAATGAAAAATACCTCTTTAGGGTTTCTTTGAAGTCCCCACCCCTGAAAATCCCCGCTATATTGTCATCATTGTTACTGTTAACAGCCCCTGCCAGTATCGGGAGCCTTTCCTGACAGATAGCTCTGCAGGGGCTTTGTCCGACGCTGCAATTCAGCCCTATACTATAGACAGTTTTAAATGGCTAATGACGGGCCTCCCAGGGGATTTCTGCCAAACTCTCAAAGACCTCCCAGGTTTAAAAGTGGCAGAGTGTCCTTTTCCCGGGGCCAGCCGCAGGAGGAATGCACACAGTCAGATTCTCCTACCTAAGCTGCATCAGCCTGGTTATTTTTTCAGTTACAAAGGCTCATCCATGCGTATGTAGCCGGTTGCTTAGCAGAAGAGAGATAGCTGTGTCAGTAGAGGACATGGAATAAAGAGAAAAAAAGGTTAGATGGAAAGTATCCCCACTCATTTGAGGTATTACTGCATTTTAATGTTGAAAATACCCTTTTTGAAAGGCTTGGAAAAATTAAGCCAGGGTCTGGATCAGAGGTATGACAAGATTCATTCCTCCCCGGTGTTTAGTGATGGTACAGCGATACTTCTGGGATACAAATAGGAACGTGAATCATGTCTAAATGAGCTGGGCTCCTACGTGCCATTTTCAGAGGAGAGGCACGAAAACACTTGAGGATCAGTGAGGGTCTGTCGGAAATGGGACTCCGACGCTTATGCCATGATTTCGTGAGAGTTTTAAGTCAGCGTAGGTGGATGCTGCTGCCAGACGAAGCCGTGCCTCTCCTCTCACCTCTCCCCTGCCCCCCCGTCCCAACACAAGTGCTTGTGTAACTGCGGGGTCACTGGATCGGGGAGCTGATCCCACTTGAAACAGACCTGTCAAAACCAGATGGTTAATTTTAACCCAGCTCCGTTCCCCCGTCTGGTTCACTCTGCAGCTGCCCAGATGTGCGTCTGTGCGGGAGGGGGACGGGAGGACTCTGCCTCCGCTGTGTCAGCACGGCCTTACACCGGCCAAAGCCCTTGCGAGCCCACAGCTGAAAGAGCTCAGGCCGCGCTTCGACAGCCCATGTCTGTTCAGTCCCAGCCAAGTGAAGAGAGTGCGGCTGGTGCTGCGCACGGTGCCAGGCAGGGGCTCACCGGGATGGGTGGCCTCTCCTCCGTGGCTGTCCGGTCTCGGCTCAGGAGGTGAAGCCTCAGCCTGTCTCAGCCCTACCCTGTTAATATCCATTAATTTTGGACCCTTGTGGCAGTTCAAAATCTCTTTTGGTTCAAATTTAACCTTCAGCTTTATAAATGAAGCGTGCAGTCAGGTGGGCGCTTATTCCTGCACAAACGGAGACCGTACCATTGTGATCGGCTTGTAGCTGATGTGCAACCTCGTCGCAGTTTTGCATTGTAGCTGAATACAGTTCACAGCTTCTGGGTGCATCTCTCAATTTAGTTATAGTGAAAAGAATTCTTCTCAGTGATTAGCAAATTGCTTTCGCAGACAATATGTAAGAATTGGTTCATTGCTTGTGCTTGTGCTACCAAATGCAACTAAATCTTTCCTCCTGCTAAAGGAATCAAAATTAATACATTCTCTTCTGTGTTAAAATAATTTCTTTTTTTTTACTGAGAGGAAAACTGCCATCTCTCAAAGTGCTGCTGTGCCTTTAACTGGGCTACTGTTGTACAGAGGAGTTGAAGCTTCATTTAGCCTGAATGAAAAACTTGATGCATGTTGCTGAAGAGAGGAAACTGGTGGTGGATGATTTACTTGGAATGCCCTACGGCAACGAGGTTATAAATGAAGAGGGGAAACACCAAGCGCACTGAGATCTGAACCAGAGGAAATGCATGAAGCCTTGAAGTGACCTTATGTAAATTCCTGATGATGAGACTTAATTGAACTCATTTTTTCCAGAGGTTGTAAAGATCAAAATAACAACAGCCTTGAAATGCAAAGGTCTCCAGATAACGCATATGAATGTATGGTTGCATACAGCTGAAAACTGCCACGGGTTTGTGTGACCAGCCTACCCAGCAGCTGGGTGCTGGACCCAGTCTTGCTCCGGGAGCTGCCGTGCCCGCGGGGCAGCGAGGCAACGGTGCTGCTCGAGCTGCGATGCCTAGTGCCTAAGTCCTGCCTTCATCCCTCCGTCGACGCTGCTTCCACTTAAATGCTTATTTTAAACCGCGTGTTTCTGCACAGAGTCCCAGGCAGCCTGACGTGCCCTGGGACACGGACAGTGTGTGGCTGGGAGAGCCACCTGCGAAACAAGCTCGTGTCCGCCCGGCTCCGCAGGGACAAGTGCCCCAGTGCTCAGACAGGGAAATCCCAGTGAGGAGAAACAGAGCAGCTCTTGAGGGGTCGCCGGGCTGTGCCCTTCTCACTGAGGTTGGTTCCCAACGTGAAATAATGTGGGCATGTGTTCAGTGTGACAGTGTCGGAAACTGATATGGAGACTGTCAAGGCTGAATTCCTGTGCTGTTTCTACAGCTTGAGATTTTTTTCCCTCTGTGCTTGCGTGCGGCTCTAGGATTCATTCTCCTCTTTCCTATTAATGCATTTGTGGTAATATGAAGAAGTCCTGATCTAGGGAGAAAAGCGAGTGGTGACTGCTGTGAAAAATATTTATCGCTGATGCTGGTTCCTAAATTCACTGGGCCGGTGTTTTGCAAAGACTTGCAGTTAGGTACCCACACACACTGAACGTCTGTGAAACACCAGCTGCCAAAGTCTCGTTTGAATGAGTTTCATTGAAAATCCCAGATTAATTGATTTATTTAGATTCATTAACAGCAGTAGAGAGCGGGAGGCTCTGACCCAGTGAGAAACTGCGGATATGGCTGTGAACAGCAGGCTAATGAAGATGAAAAACCTCCCCTGTCCAGAGCAATCCAAACACAGCCTTACGTATGAGTCTGTTGGCCCAAGTGCAGCTGTTTGTCTTTTCAGTAATCTGAAGCTGGAGCAGTACCCTGAGAAGCAAAGGGGACAGTGACTGTACGTGGCAGAGGTCACTTGTGCTGCTGCCTAAACCGAACAGCATCCCG